AAAAGCCCTGTGCTGTGAAGGATGCATTGTTCTTTCCATTTTACAGATGAGGTCATTGAGGCTTGGAGAAGTTAAGTGACTTGCTTAAGGACACGTATTTCTTAAATGGCATAACCAGTACTGGAACCCTGGCTCCTCTGACAACAAAGTCTACGTTCTTTTTACTATACCCTGATACTTCCATCAGTTGTTCACACTGAGACCACATCCGTGTTTTATGCCACAATACCTGTGTTAGGTGTTCTGGGGGTTATGAAAGAAATGAGCAGATCTTTCTAACTTCTTTGCACCTCATTTTCCCATCTGTGAATGGAGGACGTGGCGTTGGTAGATGGGTGGGTTAAGCATTGTGCTCTGCACAACCCTTAAGCTCCAAGGAACCTCAGGTGGCACAAAGGGTAGGGCAGGGGTGGTAGAAGACTCAGATAGGACCCCACGCTCCTACCTCCATTGCAGCCAAAGTCCTTTTCCTTTTTCCTGTTTAATTCACTGGGCTGTCAGGTAAGATTTTGTTTGAAGAAAGGATTCGTGCTGCTTTATAACAGTTTAAAAGTGAGCGTATGAGCTGTGGTGGCCCAAGTCATGGCAGGGCAGGACAGGCCCAAGTTTTTTGCCCTCTTTGAGTATTAGTTGAAGGGAATGCAGCTGAGACTGTAACCAAAAGGGGCATGATGCTTCCAGAAAAATCTCAAGGAAAAGTATTACAAGCAACAGTAGGAGCTGTTGGATCAGGCTCTACAGGAAAGGGTGGAGAGAGTCAACTGGTTAGCGTGGAAACTGGAGATAAAATTCTTCTCCCAGAATTCAGACTGTGGAGGTACCAATGTAGATGGTACCTCCTGTCACTGTCTAGATGACAGTGATCATTTCTTATTTAGAAATGGCGACATTCTTGGGAGGTATGAAGACTGAAATAAATCACTACTGAAATGGCCTCATGTGAAGCTGTCCATGCCACTGAAGTTCTGAAATCTTTCATTGTGTAAATAATTTCCATGTCTCTCTTTTATAATAAACTAGTGACATCCAAATTCATGACATCCAGTGTCTCTAAAATTTAGTTTTGCTGTATTGATATAAACATTTATAATGAAAATATTATAACTGAAAAATAAGTTTGCAAGCCACAGAACTAGATGCATTCTTTTTTTTTTCTTTTTTTTTTCCTGAGATATAGTCTTGTTCTGTTGCCCGGGCTAGAGTGCCATGGCATCAGCCTAGCTCACAGCAACCTCAAACTCCTGGGCTCAAGCGATCCTCCTGCCTCAGCCTCCTGAGTAGCTGGGATTACAGGTGCATGCCACCACGCCCTGCTAATTTTTCTATTTTTAGTGGAGATGGGGTCTTGCTCTTGCTCAGGCTGGTCTCAAACTCCTGACCTCAAGCCATCCTCCTGCCTCGGCCTCTCAGAGTGCTAGGATTACAGGTGTGAGCCATGGTGCGCCCGGCCTAGATGCATTCTTTAAGGGTGTGGAATAGAAGGAACGGTCCATGGCCTCAGCAAAGCTTGCAGTCTAGTTAGGGAGCTAGAATGTGGGGCTTCCTCCTCCCAGCTAGCTTAGGGCCTCAGCCTCTCAGCTCTATTACTGAGACTCTCCAGAGAAGCCTGACTTCCGACTTTCTCTTCTATGACACTCACACGCTTTCAGTTGTGTCTTCCCTGCTGGCCTGGAGCTATGTTCTTGTCCCCTGGCCAGCCCTGGTCACGGTGCCTGGCACAGAGTAAGCAATCAATGAACATTTGTCTAATGAATGAAATTCTTGAATCAGCATCCTTCACTTGAATCTGATTTCTAAAAAATAGTGTTGTAGAAGGTGGCCTCAGCCCCTCTCTTAATTTTTCCTGCTTTTTTTTGTTGCCATTTTTCTCTTAATTCCAAAGCTGTGGTTCTCCAAGAAGAGGAATCAAATAAGATGCCTTTGTTCTCCCAGCGAGTCTCTTTATGCTTCCTTTTTCTGCCTTTGTTCGTGCCTGAACACCTGTCTTTACAAGCATAGCCTTTTCTTGCTTAGAAGCAAGAAGAAACAGAGATGAAACCAAAAGGGATCACTTTTAAGAGTTGAAGAATCCATGGAAACAGTCTAGAACAATGTTAGGGGTAATTAGACATTTCCTCAGTAGCTAGTGAGCCATCTGTATTTATTTTTTTCTTCCAGCCAGAATGGGAGTAGTTCCTATCCCTGACAATTCTGCCAGCGCAAAGTTGTTCAACCTACTTTATGTAGATAGTCTCTGTCCTTGTGGAAGCTCCATTTTTGCAGTCATCTATAATTTTCTCTACAAATTTTACCCATC